GTGCTATAATAAGATTATCGAAAAGAGTGAACAACTCAAAACGCTAGATTGACTTGAGTCCAGGCTTCAGTTCAGTCTCTGCCTAAGTCTTCAATTCAGGCCTATGATCGTCAGTAGCTTTACGCATACGCTTCAACGTCCAAGTCGACTATTCCAAGTTTAGTTTTCAGATGGCCTACGTAATATGGACCGTGCAAATTTGACTGCATAACGGGTTCTATCAAAAGGCTATGAGACTAGTTTGCTGAGAGTTCAGCAAGGGAAACCAGTGCATAAGATAGAACAATACTCTTCAAGTAACAACTCATTACCGTTCTGATGAGATGCGTTTCCATCTATTCGAAATCCTTAAAAGCAACGCAATATTTCAACAAATTTCATCATTCACTCAAAATCATTAATTGAACTCTTCCAAACTTGACAAACCAACGAAATTTCAAAGGATGAAAATACGAAGGGTGGAAGGAACACAAAACGGCAAACTACTCATCGATATTTGCATAGGTAACGCTGTTTCGTAACACGTCGAAACAACCAAGCAAGAAAGTTTTTCATCGCTTTGCTGATTTTCCAAATCCTCTAAATTGTTCGACAACGGAAGCGCTGAGTGTTTGTTTGTAATTGAAACGACAGGGCAGTATACGTGCATAATATGAACCTTTATATAGGACACAGGAGGCAGCCTTCTGTTCGTACCAGTAAGAAGGTGCGTCTCTGAAAGGATGGTCATTGTTCCGATCACGGTACGTGACGGTGCCGAGTCTGGATTGATCCAAAACGACACCCAACTGATGAAAACGACAAGTGTAGCGGGCACGAAGATTTGTAGCATGTAGGAACCACTTTGCCGTTCGAACGAAAATTGAACCCAAAGCCGAGAGTACGATCCTGAATGAGTTCAGGCCAACACTATCGCTAGATTCAGATGCAGTGATTCAGTGCATCTTTAACTAACACTTCAAAATCATCCCAAAATTACTGGATGACGACAGGGTGGTGCAGAGAATGGTTGACGATTGTCATGCTGAATATGGGGCAGTTCATCGAAGGCAAAAAATGATAAGTGGAAGCATTCCGGATTGAATGAATTAACGAAAATGAGAATGAATGGGAACCTGATGAAGTAGTGGCGATAGTACGATTGACGCATAAATGAGCGAAACGATAGCTGGGTAGCTCGATTTCGTGGTCGACGTGAACCGCTCGAGCACAGTCCGGTTGCTTTACAGAGCACCAGTGATAGTGTATTGTTGCTGTCGTATAGCCGTCTTCAATTTAATTTCATTTGCCTCATTCATTTTCAAGCAGTCAGTCCATCAAATTACTGTGTCATTTTGAAAACATTCATCAATCAAATATTATTTATTTTCCTCAACTCGTTCAAATTTCAAATCTCATCAAACTCTATACATCATATTCCATCGTCATTTATTCGTATTTATATGTCGTCTATACAAATATTTATTTCAATGGCACTGCAAGGCTAATGTTCCAACGGCAAACATTTGTTGTGCCTCAAAAACATCTCTTCATTTATTTTACAATACAATAATATTTCACAAATGGATATGTGAAGTGCTTGCTGATTAGTAATGAATACGGTGCAAGAATTGCCTTCAGCAATAAACTTAAATTCAAAATAAACACTCAAGAAGAACGAGCAGTACTCCACAGAGCAGAATTATTGAATTTAAAGATGATCTATTGAAGAGTTCATATACGATCGAGAACAAATGTGAATTTCGTGAAAAAAATCATTGCTGGCTTCGAAAAAGTATTCGTGCTTCATCATTTTGAATGGCTTTTTCGGTGATTTTAGACATTTTACCCATCCATAGCGTTTATATCGGTGATTATCACGCTCTCGAACTCCTTTTCCCCTTCAACCCTATGACAAACAACTGTTCCCGTCTTCCCCCACTTTCGACAACCCACATGTTCGCAATTTCCACTCTTTTTTTCGATCTTTCAAAGCTTACTGACAAATCAGAGAGAAATAAAGAAATTAACCCAATGTTGAGGGAATTTTCTGCCAAGAATCCGTTGGCGGTATCAATGAAACGAGTTTCTTGCCATCAAACACGCATTAGGAGAAAAATATCGAATATGTATAGAAAAAACGTGATGAAAAATCAATCAACGACGAGTTGGCAACCGCAAAATTTCCTCTCTTAATGCCCTTCCCGCACACCTTCAAAGGAGAGTTTCTTGCCTACCCCTATGACAA